CTGGATTTTCTTTTGGCTTTTTATAGCCTTTTAAGCTGTTCTCCCCTTTGTTGTGTGTGCTGGAAGGAAATTGAAAAATTGCATTTGTCTGTCGTTGATAAAATATTGAGCAGAGCTACTCCTACTCCATCTGGTGTGCTCGTGATAAGCGTTTGAGCTATTTCCCAGGAAAACTGCTGCCAACAAAAAACACAAATAGAAAAAAGAAACTGTAAAGAAAGGCTCCTTGGGAAAATGTTTGAGAGAATTCGCATTGAGCTGTCGGTTTGGTTTCCTCATTCTTGAAGGCAACGCAACGGCATATCCATTCCTAAAATATTTCATTAAATTATGCGCTAGATTTTGCTTTATTTTGCTGGCCCCGCATCTCATGCTCTGACCTTGCAACAAGCTGGGAATCGCGAATTGCGAACTGCGGCTCTGAAAGATCATTTAAAAAATTCTTTTATCGGGCATTCGCTTATATTTATAGACTTGAATGGGCATTGCCGCCGTTTTATGCTTTTAATTTAATGTGCTTGGCCTTATGGGTTTATTATCAGCAAATAGCTGCGACTGAGGGGAACCGCCGCATGACACGTGTAAGGGAAAAAGTGACGTAAATGCAGTTAGCAGTTAGGAAATTCTTGGGTATATAGCTCAAAAATATATACAACTCGGAATGACAAACGAATCAAATATTTATCAAAGGAATTTTGTGTAATCATCATCATTGTGTAACAAAAGAACTTTCTCTTTGTTACGCAAGTAAATCAAATGATCTTCAACCGTTTTTTTTTGCCAGAACTTTCTCCTTCAGCGGAGAAGGAAGACGAATGATTCACTTGAGACTTTCCCAAATTCGCTGAGAACTTCCGCATGCCCAGCAGGTGGTGGGGGGACATGGCATTCGTCTGGCATCGAATTGCTCGATCTGTAGATCGACACCTGATTGACATTCAAAAAACAAGCAAACAGCAGCAGCAAAACAAATACTTGATCGAATTGTCGGCCCCAAAATGGCAATCTTTTTGTTAGATTTGTTAGCTTCTATATAAAGAACATGCCAGTTGGGAGCTTAGAGCCATATCTTAATGCAGTGCATAGCACATAATTATTTCCCGAAAAACCGTACAAAGATATGTGCCCCCCCCCGCCAAGATGCCGTTAATTAGTCACCTGTTTGTACCGTTCATCATGATCATCAGCAGCTGCTGCTGTTGCTGCCTCTGCTGTTGCCTAATTAAAACGAGGACAGACATCCGATCCGCGCCGTAATGTGACCAAATTGGTAATCTCTCTCTCTCTCTCGCCGCATCGTCGTGACACTCGCGACAAATCGCCTTAAATGTAATTTTTGTGGTAAATGTTATGTTCCCCGTCTCGTGTTTTCCGTTTCGTATTTATCCTCGTCTTGTGTGGGCGTTTGCCGTGTTAACTGTAAAAAATGTATCTCTGTCTTTTTTTTTTTTTGGGGGGGGATTTTGTGAGTTATTCAGGTCTCGCATGTTGTAATCTTGAGAGGGACAACGAGCACGGATCTCTCTCGCTTTTTGGAGTACATTTGCGCATTCCTTTGTTCTGTCATCTCGAGCTTGTTTCTTTGGGCTTTCGTTTCGTTTCGTTTCGTTTCGGTTCTTTTCAAATTAAATATTCATCAATAAATGTCAATGTCAAGTGGCAGATTTCGATGGAAGAGATATTGCACTTTGCTGAAAACGTTAACGGCTTGAGGAGGGATCATCAATATGAGAGTTTGTACAGGTAATCCACATGAGAGGTGGTTCATGTTTGAACTGCAAAAATTACACACATTAGCTGTAGGTTCCTTCCTCTGTCCACATCCGATCCACATCCAAACCACTTGTCCATTTCCCATTCCGTTCCATTCCTTTGACCAACATCGAACAAACACTCGTTTCGATTCTAAGATTCTTATTCTGATTCTTGTGCCGATTCCAATTCCATTTCTGATTCGAGTGTGAAGTGCGACGCAGTTTTGTTGGATACTCGAGTGTGTGTACTCGAAAACTTATTCATGAGACTTGTAGTATATATTGGCCCCACACTCCACCCCAACCCCCCGATCGCTTACACTTAGCTTCAAGGTTATAATGAGCAACATATGCTGCGGGTCTATCCGCTGTCGGTCTGCAATCAGCTGCGAAAATGCACAACTAAAAATGCACTTCAACGACTTTAGCAGCAACAGCAGCAGCAGCAGCCACAACTAAAGCGAAACATTTTTCACGTTTCACGTTTTTCCGCTGCCTGGGTTCTCTCCTCTAGAGTTGTTCTTGAGCTGTTTTGAGGCGTTCTGCTTGCCTGTGCTGCCTGGCCTGATTGATGTTTGTCAGCTGTGGCTGCTGTCAGCCTGTGTGGCTGCTGCCCAGCGGCCTTAGAAATTGTTGCAACAGCATAGCATAGAACACAGAACAGAAAATTCAAGTAAATTATACACATAATTGCTGCCTTTTTGTGTCCAAGGCGTTGCACAGATGCTGCACTCTGTAGACCTTCTCCTCTCCATTGATTCGAAACAACACTCGTAATTCAATAAAACATTTTGCACATATTGTCGCCCATAAAAAACTATAAAAGAATGCAGAAAGAACAAAAAAAACAATGCACAGGCAGCCCAGCAATTGGTCACGTTTCGTAAAGTTCCACAACGACAAATGCATCGCCCGCATAGACTTGGGATCATAAAAAATAGCTTTGAGTGCCGGTAAACGATTGCACAAAATGATCAGCAGGCAATGGAGTAGAGAGAGAGCAGCTCCACAGAGGTGGGAATGTGTGCGAGAAGGTGACTTTTTTGCTGGGAAAACTGTGACTGGGGAAGCACTAGTTGAAGAGGAAGGAAAAACAAATATTTGTAACACATTTTACAGATAAAAGAACACAGAGAAACTTAGACAAAAAATATATAGAATATTTGCAATAGAAAACTATAAAATATTCGTTCCTAATCTTTACAGATTTTCGCAATAAATTAGACTTTAAAATAAATGGCATTACATTACATATTTTGTTAGACTTTGGAAACGTGTTTTGTGCTCACTCAATTGGCGATTAAATCACAGGCTAGAGAGCCAGCGAGCTAGGGTTTAAATCACAGTTTAGTAAGCCATTAAGCGATTGATATCGGGGGGGGGGAGGGGAACAACAAAAAGATTTATATGGTTAGAGGAGCACTTGATCAGCACTGGAATAGGGAGGGAATATCTCTCATATGCAAATTGGCAAAACAAAACGAAATGTGTGGTGTGGTGTAGTCTGGTAAATAATTTTCCACACAATTTGCAATTAGTAATAACATTTTTATCGGTCTCTCTCTCTCTCTCTCTCTCTGACTGGGCTCAGACTGTAGCTGGTCGTTGTTCAGTTTCATCATAAAGGCAACCAGCAGAATCATTTGCACTGACTTGGCATGGTATTATGGCGTATGGTGTATGGTATTATGGTGTTCTATGGCATGGCTAGTTATATAAACTGTGGCCAGCAGCACTGTCAGCACTCGGTAGTAATGATGCCTGACGCTGTGCTGCCTATGCCTTTGCCTTTGGCTTCGGTGTTGCTTGTAGCTTGTAGCTGGCAGATTTTTCAAGGTTAAAACAGCAACGATGGCGCGCGGTGGAGCGCACGTGAGCGCCTGGCCCCAGAGGCAGGCCTCAGCTGCTCGGCTGCTCGGCTGCTCAGCAAACTGCAAACTAGTTTCAAATGGCATAAAGTATCTGTAAGATACAGACACACAAAATCAGACTGCAAGGAGTGGCCTGGCTCGCAATTAACTGCAGATTTTTGTTTCGCTCTTGCTGCAACTGCAACTGCAACTGCCACAACGAACAGCGAACAGCGAACAGCTGGTGGGCTCGTTTCGATTCGTTTCGAGTTCAAGGCTATTGGGTCAAATTGCAAATTAGTCGCCCGCAGGTTGTATGACGTTGAATGACATTATTCCGTGTGGTATAACTGCATTTGAGGCTACTTTAAGTGGACAAACGAGCAGTGACCAGCGTCTCCATTGGGACTATAATTATTTGATTTTTCTGCTCGGCTTTCTGCCTCGAGTGATTTGTATAAACTTTGCATTACAATCAATCATTTGTCGCGAGCGGGCCAATAGCTTTTTAAGTAAATAAACATTAAGAAGTCATAGCCATAGTCGTCTCGTATGGCGAACCATCTAATGCCCCGTCAGAGTGTGGCAAGGGGCACAATTTATGCGCATATCAAGTGGCAGTGGCAGCGACAGCGACGTACTTACCTATCAACGCTTTTGTTGTCGATTTGCATGAAATTGCAGTAAGAAAAAATAAGTAAAAAAAGAGAAACAGATTGAAATGCAGCTGAGAGTCGGGGCAGAAGATACATGCATAAATGATGTTAAGATACACAGATACTTTTCAAGTACATTTGCTACGATATGTTTGCTAGAGATACTTGGGCACTTGCAGATGTTTGCCTAAAGGTTAGTGTGCACACAGAAGTCGATCCAGAATGCGTACTTTTATTTACAACTCTCCCGAAAGGGTGTGCCAACAAGTTGCTCCATCCGAGAGTATCATTCATTAATACATAATATTCCCTAATTGAGATATATGCTGTAATTAAAACCAATCTATAAGGTTTAACTATCTTTAAGCTTCCTTTAACTGCATTCAGCGTATCTTAAATACAGCATTTGGTGGTTTTTTCTGAGATACTTTTGCTGCATTTATTCGTGTTTTATGTGCACTGGGCAGGGCGGGCTACCTGATCATTTTATGGGCGTTTTTTATGATCAGCAAAAAGCACGGAGAAGCGAAGAGGACTTGCCATAATTATAGCTGATTTTTACAGTCAGTCGGCTAAGTGGCAGTTGGGTAAACAATAAGACAGACAATGCCCCGACCTTAGACACTTCCCTACATTGTCACTGCACTCGAGTCGACTCGTCCAATGCCGCCTTTGTCTGCCCCTTTTGCATTGTGTTGCAATCCGTATTGTAATTCCATTCTCCTACCTTTCATTTGCAGCCCCGCAGATATTCCAGTATCCACCGCCACCGAGTCCCTCCTGCAACTATACGGGCGGCGATGTCTTCTTCCCCCATGGGCCACCGACAGTGCCGCCGCGGACACCGCACACCAGCGGCAGCTATGCCGCCGGCGAGGAGTACAACTTCTTCCGGCAGCAGACACAGCCGCCATATCCGGCGCCGTCCACGCCGCAGCCAATGCCACCGCAGCCGCCGCAGTCGGCGCCACCGATGCACTACAGCCACAGCTTCCCGCAGCAGTCGCCGCACTTGCTGCAGCACCATCATCCCGCCTCCGTTTACGGCATGGGCCAGCAGCATCAGCCGGGTCCCGGCTCCTACTATGCCACCTACACGCCACCCCCCACACCGAACACGGCCAATGCCGGCACCTCGACCTCATCGGCGGCCTTCGGCTGGCACAGCCATGGCCCCCAGCTGGCATCGACGCCACTGTCGGCGCCAATGGGCTCCAAGATGCGGCTGCAGCGCAGCCAGTCGGATGCAGCCAGACGGTGAGTGAAAGTCAAATGATTATTTCGGTGCTGGAATATCAATAAGCGAGAAGGATGCCAATTTGCTGAAAGATGATACAATTTAAGGCCTATTCCCTTATTATTTTATGGGAAGACTTTAAATTGAATGATTAATCCATCGAATCTGTTCCAAGCAACTGTACAAAAATGACGGCTAGCAAAAAGCGAAGCTTACTGATAGCACAAATTCGATTATCTGTAGTGAACGTAAATTCCAAGTGCCTGCCCCCCACCACACCACACCACACATGAATATCAATTCCCATGACACAACGCAATGTTTTTAATTAATGAAAAAGGCAAAGCGCTCGCTGATAATTGCACATGACGTTCCCCCCACCACACTACTACGAGTATTCCAACTAAATATTTATGTCTCTCTCTCTCTCTGTCTCTCTTTGACCATTTATAGCAAGCGATTGACCTCGACGGGCGAGGATGAGCGCGAGTATCAGAGCGATCATGAGACCAGCTGGGATGATGAGTACGATGATCGCTATGACAATTTTACGGCCGGACGGGAGCGTCTGCAGGAGTTCAACGGACGTATACCACCACGAAAGAAGAAGAACGGTCATAACTGCAGCGCCAGCAGCAGCAGCAACAGCAACAACAACAATCCAATCAGCCAAAATAATTTCCAACTCCATTCATCGAATGCAGAGTGCAGCAGCAGCAACAGTGCCAGCCACAGCCACAGCCACAGCAACAACAGCAGCAGCAGCAGCAACACTCAAAGAGAGCGAGAGCGTGAGCGGCTGATGCGAGCGGAGGCTGAGAAGAAGGTAAGCAAAGGGGAACACCTAACATGGGATACCCTATGGGCTAGAGTTTTTAGCACTTTTGTTTTCCCTCTCTTCATTATAATCCGATTCGTCTTCAACCATCTCGCGGCTCGGGCAAGTGCCACAAATATTCCAGATATATTTGCAAGTTGGGGAGTTCATTAACTTGAAGGCGCAACATCTGTTGTTGCTGGTGCCCTACCCCACAGCGCTGTGGCACGTGGCAAACATTTTTCAAAGGCTCAACTAGTTGAAAATGCTGCAGAAAATGCTAAAAATACAAACCCGCAGGAATGACAAATTGCCGCTAGAGCGGGAGGCAGGGTGGGGAGTGCCAGAGTGCGAGCACATGCACATGCACATGCATGCTCGTGCATGCTCGTGCATGTCGCTGCAGGCAAATGTATAACACATATAACACTTTTTTTTTGCACATGCTAAAAGTGTGATAAAAATTAATTGCGCAGTTCCTGGCTCTGGCCCGGGTGGGTGCCTGCTGGAGAGAGTCTTGTCTTGCAGTCTCTCTGCCTCGCTGTCTCGCTGTCTCACTGTCTCTTGTCTCTGCTCGGGCGCTGCTCGTCTCTTGCATTATGTTAATCGTGGCAGGCGCCGTACGCTCCCTCTCTCCCCCTGCCGCGTTTCTAGTCTCTCGCTCTGTACATATCTGGCGTGTAAGTCGGGCCTTTGTGTCGGCCGCTGCTGCTGCTGCTGGCCTCATTAAGCCCCACTTTTTACGCTTTTTTCTTAGTTTTTAGTTTTTGCGTATTCTTTCCTGCGCAATTAAAAGAAATGTAAACTTGAGGAAATTCAATCGCAATCGCATGACACACACACATACTGACTCAGCTGGGTATCAGACCAGCTCCCCTGTTCACTTGAATACCCATTAATTGGCGTGTGGAAGGGTGCACAAAATTGTCAAGGCAAAAATGCAACTGCCAGAAAATAATTTTACAACTTTTAAAGTTAAAAAAAAAGACTCTGGTTGGGATAATGGATACCACATAGTCGGTACATTAACTCTAGCATTCTCTCTCTTATTGCCATTTGATTTTTGTTGTAATTCATGCTCGTCGCTCTGGGCCCCCGCTTATCGCTTAGGCTGTCCACCCTTGGGGGAAGCTGCGAACTGATCTGGAAGCTGTGAAAGCTCCTACAATTTGACCTTATCCGAGCACTCTTTCAGCTGCTAAACGAGAGCGTGTGAAATTCCATAATCTACAAAGTATTATTCATACAAATATATATGTATGTATGCCACAGACATGGATCCTCGATTGTGATTTGACGCATAAAATTGCGTGTATTTTTCCAATGGTTGATAAATGTTAAGCACTGAAGGAATGTTTTAAGAATGGACAAGAATTGTATGACTTGTTTAACGCGTAGTAGCTCCATCCAACATCCAACAACCCCTTCCAAACAGCTAAATTGAATCGAAATTCGAACACATGTTCGATGGCTTTTTCATACCATTAACCGCAAAAAGACAATGCCACAAATGTCCCAACCAAATAGAGCCGAAAATTCGGGGCTAAAATAAGCGAAAAAGTGAATTTGCATAATAAATTTGAGGTCAGTTTTAGTAGGGTTTGGTGGTGGTGGTGGCCGCCATCCACCACTTGGCACCACAAAAATCCATGGCCATGCCATCCACACGTGCCACACTGCGACCATTCAAGCGTGGAATGTTGAACAAATAAATGGTGTAAATTATATAACCATTGATGCGGGTGTGGTAATGTCGCTGGAGGGGGAGAGTCAAGTGTTCTGTATAGAAAAATAATTACACCATTGACCAGACAAAAATTGACCGCCCATTCGGGTCACTTTTGCCAGTCAATAGTTTCGCTTGATTTACGGCTCAAGAGTGCCAGCGAGGGTGGATAGAGTAGAGGGTCACGTGTGCGGTTTTCGTATATTTTATGCCACACAGGGGAGCAGTAAGTTGGAGGGGGAGTGCTTTTGGGGGGATGCTGAAAGGTTACTTTATTGATTTAAATATACATTCAAGTGCACATCAACTATAACTAATCCTAATTAAATTTCTATCCATTTTGTGAATCTTTCAGAAACCACAGAGCTTCACCTGGCCAACCGTTGTGACCGTCTTCGTGCTGGCCATGGGCTGTGGCTTCTTTGCGGCGCGATGAACCATCTGGGGATGCGTGAATATGTGTAAACGAATGATCTATAGTGAAATCAGCTAGTATTTAGGCTATCTAAATCGATCTATGCCTAGATGTAGCGAAACCGTAACTTAAGTGCAACGAATTTATTGAAAGCAGAAAGTCATTAATTCGTAAACCGATTGTTAAATATACATAAATTCATACATACATAATACATAAATTAAGAGGGTTGACGGGACACAAGAACAATATATATTCAATCTGTTTAGGGTAAACTTTTGCATTTGTACATTTGTATCTCCAGAAACAGGAACAGAAATTTCCTCCAAAACTGCTCAAAATAAACTCGAAAACTCTCAGACTGGCAAACAAGTGACTAAGAATTTAGAGCATATTTTTTATTGCGAGTACATAGACACATGTATTTTTGTACAACTTTTTGAACACTTAACTATAACACACAAATTATACAAGTACAAACGAAAAAAGGAAAAACCGACAATTCTTGAGATACACTTTCGATACGATTTTTCGTTTTTGCATTTAGTTATCTGATATTCCACCTGCATTTTCTTCCAACCCGAAGCAATTTCAATGTCTTCGCTTTTGTGATTTCGAATCGCAAGAAAAATGAATTATACATAAATATATTTTAAATATTTGTTTAACTAGTAGAAATTTATAAGCATAAGCAAAAAGATCACACGCCGCCTAGCTTTAATTGTTAAAAAACAAACGCAGAGAAAAAGATCATAAAAAAAAACACCAACAGCAATGTTTAAGTTAGTTCTTTTTTATTTGTATATAGTTTTTATGCCATTTTTGTGATGTTTTGTGTCTACGGTTTATGTCATGTTATTTTAGTTAAATTTCGTATGATTTATGTTTTTTTTTTTGTCATTTGTTCATCATTGTCTTCAAATTGGTCTCACAATTTAGTTACTTAAGCTCCACCAGAGTCCGGTAAATGTCCAGCTCAAGGGGAAATGTCCTCTGAAAAACGGCCATGTCCATTCTCTAACAATCTTTTTTGGACACACACACACACACGCACACAAATGATCTCTCCCAAAATGGAAATTAATGGAAATTGATCTCCTACGATAGCCAAAGTAAAAGAAAAGAAAAAAAAGGAAATCAAATGAAAGAGAAGAATCGGGCCAACCATTTTCAGAGGTTAGTCTTCCGCTTTTGCTGGCATTTTCCGGGCTAGTTTCAATGCTAATTGAATACACAACGTGAACATAAAAGCGAAAATAGTGAAAAAAAAAATCAAAAGAAAAGTAAAAACAATTCCCAAAAATCGCATTGATCTCATGGATTTATACAATACACAGTTTTTACAATGAGAAAAGAAATATAATACAAAATAAGAGAAGAAAAGAGGAAAATGAAAAGTGAAATAGAGAAAAAAAGAGAGAGAAACGGAAAGCAAGAGTTAGAGATGTAAGAAAAGTCTAAGCTTAAGTTCGCCAAGCGTTTTAGTTCTAAATTCTAGAGCGTTTAAGGTAGATATAAGTGAGTTTTTCAAGCGTTTATTTTGTACATAATTATACCTAAAGCAATATTATTCTGTGTAGCCATAAGCGATAGCCCAGACCCCAGATATATCCATGCCCATTTCCAATCTAGCCTTAGATACACACACACACACCTTCAACAAAAAAAATAGAACACACACTTCTCAACTACACACATACATACCATACATATGTACACACCACTTCCAAAAAACCAAATGAAAAAATTATTTTTGTAAATTTGTTGCATCAAATGAACCGGAAACCGGCGGAAGCCTGTCTTCCTCCTCTGGTTCATTGCCAATTAGTTTTCACAATGATCTCGGTAAAGTTTTGTGGCCTCGCATGGCCCAGAAGTCATGATGGAATGATTGATTTTTTGGCCTGCCATGAATACTGGAACAAAAAGTTAAACGAAAGTAGAAGCAGAATCAGAAGCAAAAGCAAACTATATTTTTGACCCGATGCGACTTGATCCGTTTGTATAAATTTAAGTATCTTTACTCGACCCTGTACATAGCGCGCAGTTCGAATCATAGAATCAAATGCCATTTTTGTATAGAATTTTGTTTGGTGCCAAAACAGTGACAGATACAGTTGTCTGCGAACACATTATACACACACACACACACACACACACACATATTATACATACTAGAATTTAGTTATGCTAAGCTTGATCCTAAGTTCAACAATTCAGCAATTTGTCAATTCAATTCAATTTAGCAAATAATTATTCTGTTTTTGTTTCGTGTTCGAAAGAAGCGCAAGACTTCGTTTAATTGTACATTTTACATATTATGCTGTAATATTTTAATATGCATAAATAATATCATTATTGATCTCATGAATATGTTCATAAGACAAATTAAGCATCAAACATTATCTGTATAGAAACGATTACTCGTACATTTGAGTGCATAATATAACATGTAAGATTTACAGAACAAACAAAATACAATCAAAAAAGAAAAATAAAAAAATAAATAAAACATTTTAAAATTAATTTGAAATCAATGTATATTTGGGCCTAGGCATTTAGCTAATCCTTGATCCTTGATCATTGACCCAAAGGACTCTGTCAAATCAGGGACATTATTCTGAACACAGGAAGTGGACGCACGGCTAGATCGGATGAGGAATGACGGAGTTATGGCGGCTTAAAGAAGAATAATAAAAATTGAACAAGTCGATTTTGAAGTATCGTTTGGGGGCTGCTGTTGGGCAAAAAATCATGGCATACTTTCAGGCTGAAGCGATCTCAACTACCAAATTGCGTAAAACTGCCATATCCTTGAGTCCTTGGGGTTCTACAAGGATTCAAACGTTGCAGGAGACTCTCCCGTTCTGTATGGATTCTAGCAGAAAATATCCTTACAGTGGCATTATCCTTAATGTCCTTGCACCCAAGGATTGCAAGCGATCGGGCACATTTTCCCGATTCCGAGGAGGTGTGGCATGTCCTGATCCGACAGGATACAGCCAAGTTATGGCGTGGTAGGGATTCTAGCAGAAAACATCCTTAATATGGCATTATCCTTAATGTCCTTGCATCCGAAAAGATTGCAAGCGATCGGGGACGGTGTCCCCCTTTTCCGAGGAGGTGTGGCTTGATCGTCCTTCAAATAAAGGATAAAACAACAAAACAGTTTTGTCCTGTTGTTGTTGTCGATCTATGTTGTTGTTGTACAACAAAAGATGTTTTTGTTATTGTTGTACAACAACCACTTCGATTGCAGAGTGGCGCCCCAGCGATCAAGACGGCCACTTCTGAAACTAAGAATCCGTGAATCTCTTGAAAATGCTTCACTCAAATGCAAATTTTTAGACCGAGTACCAGGCCAACAGAAATCAGCAGGAAGTAGCTGCTTTAGGTTTTTTCACTGTGTCAAAAGCTGGCGGCTATGAAACCGCAACTTATTGTTTAACAGAAAAGTAGCTAAAAGTATGCTACAGTATTTTTGATGTGCAAATTCTTAATTTACCTTACACAAAAATTACAGTAGTGATCTGTGCCATTTTAGTTCCAGAACTGGCCGTAGTGATAGCGGCAAAGCTGCGGCTGTTGTACAACAATAACAAAAACGTCTTTTGTTGTGCAACGACATAAATCGACAACAACAACAGGACAAACTGTTTATCCTTTTATCCTTTATTTGAAGGACGATCAAGACATGGCGCACCTCCTCGGAATCGGGACACGGTCCCCGATCGCTTGCAATCCTTTTGGATGCAAGGACATTAGGGATAATGCCATAGTGTTTCTTGTCGGATAAGGACGTGCCCCGTCTCATCCTGAGCGGGAGAGTCTCCTGCAACGTTTGAATCCTTCAAGGACACCAAGGACTCAACGATATGGCGGTTTTACGCAATTTTGTGGTTGAGATCAGTTCAGCCTGAAAGTATGCCATCCTTTTTTGGTCAAAAGCAGCCCCCAAAAGATACTTCAAAAACGTTGAAGGTTATCTCTAAGATAGAGATTAATTTATCCGATTGTAGATTGTCCTTAAGATCTCTGGGACTGCAGGACTTCCCAATCATAATCGTCTTTGATGGCCGATCTGTTTGTTAAGATTCTCCTCTAGGCCGAAGCTGCATTCGCACACGAATTAATATTGGCACTGAAATGAAATTACAGAATATCAGAATCATAGAGCAAAAATGAGAGGCACTCTATGAACACACTTACCACATTCTGGACCGTAGAAAGACTGAAGACTATTGCCAGGATTTCCATTGACATTGATGTGCACGTTCTGGAAGAGATCCACTTTATGGACTGACCACGGACCGATTGCAAGGGATTGTCAGGCTCAACGGGACTCCAGCTGGGAGTGGTCTGTAAAAGTACTCTCAAAGTTTCATACTTGCCTAGGAAAAACTCCTTTCTATAAACGATTGGTTTGATTCATGAGACGAAATAAACTAGTATAAATTGAAAAGAACAGAGTCTTTGAATTGGGAAAAACCACCCCCCCGTTCTGCTGTCAGAGTGGAGCGAGTGCGGTGCGTGTGATTCAAATGGAAATTGCTGGCCACTTGGCCGAAAAATAACCCCCCGGGCGAGTGCCTAAACCAATTTGTAGTTTCAATTCCTTTTTCCCTTTTTGTGGTTGCGGATTAAATGGCCATAATTGTTGCTCCTGCGGCCAAGGTGACACGCGACTCGGTAACGGGATACCGGGCAAACCGGGAACCACGTGGGTCGTGTCACAAAAATGATGTGTTATTAACGGCTTAGGGCAGGCGATTATAATGATGACGGCCGCGGCTGGGCGGCAATTATGTTAACCTGCAAATGCTCCGCCCCTCTCTCTCTCTCTCTCTGGCAGTCATGACATCCGCTTCCGCCTACAATCCGGGGCGGCGCATGCAAGTGTCAATCAAGGGTACATTTAATTTGAAACTGCGATTTCCATGCAATCTGTGTCCGAACGTGTGTCCGCCATGGATGAATGGATATCAAATAGCGAACACAACGAACTCTTTCTGTGAATTCAGATTTGGAAAGCTGCCTGATGGAATCCTAGAAATATATTCACTTATTCAATATCTTAAATTATTATGTAATTTCTAATAAATGGGGTTTCCCTGCTCCATTTATCAATTAAATTTCGCAACAAAACAAAACAAAACAAAAGCAGCAACCGCCATCGCAATTGTATTCTCATCTTCTTGTAGTTTATGATAATTACTTCTTGGCCCAACACCTGCCAACGGCCATAAACAAAAGGGGCTGCCACACTGTGGGGTATGGGGGGGGGGGCAGGACATTGTGTCATGCATTGCCAGATTTTATTATCAGAAGAAACCCTCAACGCACTACTCCAACCCCTCGATTAGGAGATTATTCAAATAATTTAATAGGCAATTTGGCTTTAATGAAACTTCATTAACTGTGGAAACAACTACTTTATGCTTGAAAAACTATTTTCTATTCAATAAAGTCTTGATGTTTGATAGACATTTATGGCATAACAGCAAAATTGGTTTCAAGACGGAATGTTACTAATAAAATATTCTTTTAAATTTACGACAAATGTTCGAAAGGGATTAATTTTAAAATATGTTCGGACTATTCAGAACATTTTATGAGCCTTGACAAGTTCCTTTCAAACATTCTTCTCTCTAAAATACAAGAAAATATGAAATCTGCTCATGGTGCCATTAAATTACGGTTTAAAATCATCTCATCTCAACTCTGTTTTCATAGGTTTTTAATTAAATTGTGTCCTGCTTAACTATTCGCCACTCGAAAGCCACTTAAAAGTAATTCAATTACAAATAAAGCGCATCTACTTATTTCTGTTTTTCGCCCAAGTGAAAGGGAAAGAAAAGGTTAATTTCATTAGGCGGGAACATGCCTCAGACCCAACTCCTCCGCTGAGTGTTCTGTGTGTGTGCAATGTTCAGGGGCAGCAGAAACTGCATTAAAAATTCATTACAAAGTGCACACAGAGGACACAAAATCTTTCGATGGGTGAACAAGGGAGCTACAGGTACAGGTACAGGTATGTAAGTGGCTCTTGAAACATGCACACAAATGTAAGAAACTTGTCACCCACACCCTGCAGTATTTGGGGGTTGTATATGTACATGTGCTTGCAACACAAATCTGCCACAAATATTTTCAGATGTTTGCTTACTTGAGTTAGAGATGCGCACGGGCACACGATGGTGAAGAAGTCACAGAGCAATAAGCTATGTAAGGGCTTTAGAAATGGATGAGATAAAATATTGAAAATTATACCCTAAAGATAAACATACTCTATCATGGAGGTTTTATGATCATTTTCCTGATTATGTGGGACTTTGTTCTATGCATTTATAAATATGAACTCTCAATTAATAAACTCTACTTATTTCCTTTCAAATAAAATAATTCTAAGCACAATAAATTCGTGAAATTTCTATCCGATTCTGCTTTTATTTGGCAACTTCTTTAGCTACATTTTTATCAACTTTGTGCAAAGGTTTGCTAACATGAAAAGTATTTGCTTCAGGCTTTGTTTGCTCAGTACAGGCCCAGCAACTTTACTCATCTCTGAAAACTGATAAACTTGTGTCACAGCACAGCAGATGACACAGAAGACGATGGTCTGGTGTGTCTTTGGTGCAAAAAGGTTAAGAAGGATGGCGAACGGAAGGACATGAGTAATCTCATATCTGGCAAATGATATGGGAATTGGCAAGCTGGACAAACTCGTAAATATTCGTAGCCTGGAGGCCATCATCTGGAGAGCTCAGACGGATGGCAATATATGGCGATCATAATCAAGGTCTTTTGGCACTTTATTGACAAACTAATAAAAGCCAAGAGAGAGTCGACAAGCAATGGAAAGGGAAGAGCAAACGAAAGATGAATGGACACTCGTAGATGAAGGCAAACGATTTATTAAAATCCCTCTACATGGCATACATAATAAAAAGCAAATGCTGGGGACCTGGCCGTTGATGTGATGAGTAATTTGCTTTGGCTTTTAATGGTGGAGATGGGCCAGCAGCTTCAGTCGTGCCCAAAAACCAGACAACGAATAGTTGCAGGACACGGAAATTAGTGCGGAAACGGTTACTACGCTTAGCAATCTGTCAAAAAGCCAAAATGTAATAAATGAGCTCCCCAACAGAAGAGAACAGAGGACAGTCTGGGATCTGGGTCCTCCCCATCATCATAATTCATATGAGATGCCAAAGCACACACGACAAAAGCTTGACCGGAAGCCGAACACACGGACAAGGACACGGACAGGACACGGACACGGACAAAAGGCGCCAACTATACAGGGATACAGGATGGCTGTCTTTTATGGTAGCAGATGCACCATATTTCATTACACGTTGATAAGTGGTCATTTGTCCCTGGAACTGAAAGGGGAACTGGGATGGAGCACTCTGATGTACGTCTACGTCTGCATGCCAACAGGCATTTCATAATCATTTTAACAACCTTTTTTACGCAAACTTGCAGCCAATGGCAAAGGCAGTGGTATCACATATTAAATGCATGAATAAATGATGGATAAATGTACATTCAAATCGTGAGTAGTGCGCAACGAGCAAGCACTTAGATGTTTATTAATTTTAGGACAAGTTTCAGCAGGCTGAAGAACTGAAGAACGAACGAGTGCAGAGTGGCGCTGAGAGTGTGCCCAAAGGAGATGTAAGCTTAGTTTAATAATAATAATAAATAAATGCTTTAAAAGATGTTTTAGTAAACAGAAAATCTTTACTCGCCCATCTACTCCTAGTCGGTCGTATCGGCGTCATCGTCATCGCTCAAGAAATCGAAACCTTTCTTCCGAATGACACGATCAACCTTCTTGGCAGCCTGTTTCCGTGCCGCCGCTGGGCCTCGCATCGGAGCATTGGGCTTCTGCGGCGAGTAGGATGCCCTGAAGCGTTGCAAATACTCCGGCGGTGGTGGCACATTGCCCGTCGCGTGGTAGGGAACAATGCCTTGGATGTGCTGTGGCCGCAGCAGACTGCACAGTTGTATGAGATTCATGCGCGTGGGCTGCGGCGACCACTTCAGCAAGTCGAGTGGCAGGAGAGCAAAGCGCTCGGACTGAGTGGTCAGAACGGTAAAATCGTCGGAGGCGAAAATGTGCACCTTGACCATGTAGTCGGGCTCCTCGAAGCGCCGCAGGTCGCTGCTGAGTGCCGCGTAGCTGTTGGCATATTGCCCCATCAGTCGAATGTGGCCGTAGAGCAGAGTGTGGCCCAGTCGCCGCACCAGAGGCTCGTACCCGCAGTGGGGCAGCTTCAGGCGCACCACGCAGTTCTTTTCCCTGTGAAACTTGTTGATGTCCGCCGCCACTTCATCGTAGTCCACATGGACAAGCGGCCGATGGGCACCGCTGAGGTTGAGGTACAGCAGCTCCGTGCCCTGCGCTATCCATGAGTGGAACACGGGATTGGCTATCACCTGACACAGATCGTCCTGCTGCACTGCCGAGTAAAAGTACAGCAGCTTGCCGCCCTGCAGCTTCCGAATGAGCAGCACCAGACTGTTGCCCAGCGAAGTCCCCGCACAGAGCATGGCCTCCAGCCGCCTGCCATCGCTGAGGCGCAGCTGAAAGGGTTTGCCATCCTCCACAATATGAAAGTCCTGCTCGGAAATGTTGGCCCCCTTCCATTCCAAGTGGAGCAACAGCTGATCGGCCAGTGGCCGGGTTGTGTACATTCGGCAGAACTTCTGCGGCGGCGGCTTCAGCTGCTCAGGCACCTGGCTGAGACTCGTCAGAAACACCTTTGTGGTGCTCTCGTAGAGCTTGGGTATCGTATCAAATATTAGATCGGGATGCTCCTTTGGACGCATGGGGAAACTGCAAAAAAAGGGGCACTTGGATTATTATCAGAGTATAAAGTAAATATCAAAGTAATTTCAATTCTAAAATTCAAACTGACGAAAAGTTTGCTCGTCAAAATGTTTTTAGGGCCTGCAGCTGGAAATTTCCTAAAAAAAACCCAGGGAGCACTTGGAACTAAATTAATTTGTAAACAAAAAACAGCTGATTGAGCAGTGTTACCGTTCAATCTGGTCACACTCTGCTATCTGAATAAGTGAGAATTGTATGAATGAAAGCCATATTTTGATATCGTTTCTTGCAGAATAATTAATTTAAAATAAAATGCATATTAAAATAGTTAAATAAATATTTATAACCCCCAAGTGTGTGGAATCTTATGTATTTTTCTGTGAATTTCATGAGCTGCCATCTTCGACTGAATCAACGGCCTTTGGCAACCCAATGCGACCTTTCATGGTCACACAACACACCTCAGCACGCCCACGAGCCAAGCGGATATAAATGCTCGGCATCAATGTTTTGCCGTTCGTCAATCATCAATCATGAATCATGGGCCCAAAGACGGCATTTCGCGCTTTGCATAACTCAGACGAATGTAAACAAATTGCAAGACCACGAAAAAGCTGCAAAATGAAATGGGTTGAATGACAGACATTGGCATAGATTCAGGAACTATGGAACGGCCCACAGTCTTTGCTCGGTCTGGCTGTGGTTTCCCTTTCGGTTGACCGTCAGAGACAGAGCACAGCATCTGCCATCCAGGCTAGGTTACCTCATGCTCCTCAGAGGCAAGAGGCAAGAGACAGGCGCACCCCCGAGTCAATAAAACGTGTAAATTATTATTACGTCCGCTGCTCCCAGCAGTCACAGCTGGAAAAGAAAGCAGCGCGGTGCGGCGCGGCGTGGGGGGCTGGCTACTGACCGACTAGAGCAGAAAATTACTCAACTCAAGTCGCTTAAGGTTGAAGTTTCAGTTTCAATTTCAGATGGGCTCTGAGCGGGTTGCTCTGCGGCTTGTTAGTCGCGTTGTTAGCCCGATATTTTGGGCTTCAACTTTCACTCGGCGGATCTCAGACGACTAATTTGCAGCCGCTCGCGGCTCGCCGCTGCTTGTTGGCTCATTATAATTAAGCCATTTGGCCGGACAAGTGACATGCAGCAGACAGCCAGACAGCCAGACAGCTGTAGATTGTAAATGCTCATTGTACTCGGCATTTCTCACACGCAAAAGTGTAACAAATACTCCCATTAGTCGGTGTAATGCCAACATACATAGAGGTATAATTAATAACATAATGTGGGCAAAGGTTGAATGAACACGAGTCAAAAGAGAGGGAGAGAGCAATAAGAGAGGAGCTAAAAGAGAATAAAAAACTTAAGAGTTTACTCAATAAAGACTAATACTGGGCTCAGTGAAAGATCTTTGAGACATCTTCTGTGCTTTTATAATTTGGAAATATTTATAAATAAATAATAAATAAATAAGTGTAGGATAAATAAATAATTGTAGGCCAAAGTCCAAGCCAAACCGAAGAGCCACTGCTTATCCTTTCTTGCAGTCTTTTAAATATATTTTCATTAACTTTCTTGTTTCACATATTCCCATCCTTCCACCTGAGAACTCCTCTCCTCTCCCATTGACCTTCAATAACCACCACTTCTGCGCTCGCACATTTCACTCTCGCTCTCTTTCTCATTTCTCTTGAGCAAACTTCTCCTCTTTATGAGCTTTCATCGAACTCTGCTGCCTGCCAGCTCTCTTTCACCGTTAATTCCTGATCAAGCACGGGTTTGTTTCGCTGTCTCGCTCTAACAAAAGCGCAAGCCCAGCCGCTGCTGGCTGCAAACTTCCACTCGAGCCATGGCTTGGCGCATGCTCTTCGTTGGAGTCGCGTGTCAAACGAACGCCGCACTCAAAACCGAAAACACGTCGCTGGCGCATGCGCATTTCGCCCGTTTCGTATTCGAGTTCACTTTTTTTTGTATCGGTTAACCAGTAGACCATAGCCGAGCCGAGCTGCACAGAGCCGAACTTTGTGGTAGTTTCGATTTCATTCCTGCTTTCGGCCGCCGCACGGAAGACTCGCCCAGGTGGCAGCCAGAAGAGAGTGAAGAGAGTGGCTCAAAGTGCAGTGAGTAAGTGGCGGGGAAAAGCCCGCAGCGTAGAAACCGAAAGTGTGCAAATCAAAGCCCATCCGCAGATGTCGCAATTGAAAAGCCAAACAATGCGTCGCAATTGTGTCTCGACAATTTCCGAGCTCAGCGAGCCAGGAAGAGCCAAGAAAAGAAAAGAAAGTTGCGTTGCCAGAAGAGAATTGCGCAAAAAACAAGAGTTACAGCAACAAATCAAAAGAAATGATTGTATTCGTGTTGAGTGTGGCAACTTTAGGCATAACTTTATGCAAATCTAGTCGAAGACTCCTGCCAGTTGGGACTGTCTTAAATTGTGGAATATTGAAGGTTTTTCTGATGAAGCTAAGACACTCAAATCGAACCTCAGCACGCCCTGGACATTAAGGCTAATTGGAGGGGTAGTGACAGTTGGCAGTGGCAGCGCTCCCCCCAGTGTTGAGTGGATTATGTAATTTGACAAGCTGGAAAGGAAGAATTCCCAACACGTCCCAACCGTATCCGTGCTCGTCTTGTGCCCGCACAATTTTGGGCAACGCATCTCGAGCGTAAAGTGTCCTTTCGTGTTGCCACCGCCTCCTCGCTGGCTCACAGGCGTGTTCCCTTGTGCGTGGCAACGACACCGGAGCAGTTTTGTGATCCTTGCACCTGCTGCATTTGCACTGCACTGGAATTAGCTGCCATTTCTTGCTGTAAACTTCCACTGACGTCTGTCGATGCTCGATGCTCGATGCTGCTGCCTCTGTCTTTGCCTTTTAGTGCGGCACCCTCTGTTGCCTCCTCGGCAAATGCAATTTTCTAGTACTTGCTCGAATGTTTCCTTCCCCGCACTCCACCCCCTATCCAATGCTGGCATCCGTACGGATGGGGCCATAAAATTGTTGGCTGCAATTACATCTGTGTGGGAAAGCTGTGGGAAAAGTCTGTTGCCAGTCTGCAGGAATTTAAATTTTATATGCAACAAGACATTTGGCATAGTCGTTTTTGTATGACACAAAAACATAAATAATAAATTTCGTAGCCCTTAGCGTAAGCCCAGATGCTGCTGCTGCTGCTGCTGCTGCTGCCAGCGAGACTGGGAGGGAGTCAGCTTTAGCTTCGACTTTGAGTCGTTTCGAAACTTCCCCGTGCGTCATCGCTAGTAGGGAGTAGTATTCCACGGGCTAAAAAACAACACAATAACCTTGACTCTGTTTAAATGTAAATGCGGTTCGAACAGATCGCTAAATGAGACACAGTAAACAGAGCCCCGAAGAGCTGTGCATAATTGATGGTGAAATTTTAAGGCGAAATGCGTGTGTGCTCAATCCCAAAGATTCAATTCAATAAACGGATGATCGAGTGAGTTTTAGCGACAAAGAACAAAGCCACACTTTCACTGGAGAAAAAAGAATGGACCCATACAAGAGGGAATTGCTCAGCTCTTTGTAGAGTCAGTGCCATGAGTCACTCAAAAGAAAGAACAGCCAACACTTGCTATAACTGCTTGGAGCATTAAAATAAACCCAGCAACTGTATGCAGTCTGCACGCATTAAACTTTTAAGGCCTGTCAACGCCAACCCCAACCAAATAAAACTTGACAATAATACGAATAATTTGAGCAAGGAGCCTGAGACTGAGGCTGAAACTGAGACTGAAACAGAGACTGCGATGATGATGGGATATGATTATATATTATGTCGCAGTCGTGCGGCTGCATAAACACGGCGCAATCATAAAAAGCGGAATTAAACAAATGTTGCGAGGAGCAAGGGTGGTATGGGGCACTCCCATCGAGCACGTGAGAATTGCATTAATATGAATGCAAATGTGCATCCCTCGGGACGGGGTAGACAAATCTATAAATTTATGTGCAAATGTAGCAAGAAATTGTCGAGCAAAAGTCGCGCGCGAGTTTCTTTCTCTTGCCGGTTGACAGCAAGTTTTTATGAGTATTATGATTTTCCTTGCAGTCGGCGAAAGGACGTGCAAGGACTTTGGCTGCCTTAAGCTTATGAATCGCTGACGAGAGTTTGGGTAGCATCAAGAGACGATTTCCCGCTCCACCGAAAATGCAGTGGAAAATTGCAATTCTAATTATCGTATTAGCCGGCAACGTGTCGTGCATAAGAAATGCAAACGGAAATGACAGCAATGACAGCAGCGTGGATGATGTCGGGTGAGTTATGCAAATTCCCCAGGAACATTAAGTACATGCTTGAACCTCTCCACTTTGTTTTGCAGCCGAGAGCAGCGCATTTCCGTAAAGTTGAAAAACTTCTTTCCCTCAGAGCCGCTGCTCAATGAGGGAGCCACCAAGGAGGGCCCGCCACAAATCTCCGCACGCGTCACCTCCAGCTCGGGCTTTCGACCCTCACAAATGCTGGAGTTTACGCCTTCGGATGTGATGCCCAGCGGTGGACTCAATCGGTATCCTCCCAGCTATCTAGCGCCCAACTATCAGCATCAGTTTCCCAGCTCCCTGAAGCAGTCACCGGCGGCCATGGACAAGCAGTTCTCATTCCCCGAAGAGTCATCGGGGGGCTACAACCAGCAGCTAGGCAGCACGCCGATACCCACAACGCCGATTGTCAGCTACCTGGATCCGTACACCCAGCAGAACTATGGCTATGTGCAGACAGCCACTCCACCCACAGTGATCCAGTATCAGCGGGAACAACCCGACGACGATCAGGTCTACACGGTGCAATCCTCGCTGCTGGTTGGCAGCCATCAGCCGCAGCCTCAGCGACCACGTCCTGGATTTGTGGACGATGTTTATCTTAAGCGTCCCGGCTATGTCTTCGATGAGAGCCCCGCGTCGGCGGTTTATCGCAGACCCACGAAAGCACCGCCTGCGCTGCCAGCGCCACCCACCACAGCGTCGCATAAAATTTCATACGATTCGCATGATTACCCACCGCCAAGCTATGCAGCCGAGCAGACATCCAATTTCGTGCCCCAAACACTGCCCGAACGGCCGCTCTACAACCGCCAAGACATCAATGACAATCGAGCAGAGGCCCAACGACCCCAGCACCAGTCCAGGCCTCCACCATCCACGTCTAATTATGCAAACAACTTTGATAATTATTTGCAGCGGCCACCACCCAGCTACCAGGGCCAGAGCCAGAGCCAGAGCCCGAGCCAATCGTATGCCCAACCCCAGTCTCAGTCTCAGTCTCAGTTGGGAGGGTCCAGTCCGACGCACTATCAATACGAGCCGCTGGCAAGACCCCAGCCAGGAGTGGGACATGGACAGGGACCAAGACCAGGACACAATTACTACGAGTATCAAATTGGTGAGATACCGCCACCGCAATCCCAGCTAGGACAGCGACCGAGTCAGTACCCAAACCAGTACCAGTACCAGCAGCAGCAGCAGTTCAACTATCGTCCTGGAGCAGGGCCAACGACATATCGACCCAGTCAGTCGTCGGGCAGCGGTGGTGGTGGAGGTGGTCTGGCCACTCTGGCATCGCTGTTCAGCTCAACGCAGCAGTACGCACCGCAATTTACGAACCTTCTGCTAGGTGGAGGTGGCGGCACAGCCTCCCAATCACAATCCAGCCCATTAGGCAGTCTACTCGGCGCATTCGCTGGCAATGGATACCAGCAGCAGCAGCAGCAGCATCAGTATCAGAAGCCTCAACAGGGACGACCACCCAACACACAACTCATTAGAGCCCTGGAGAACATCGCACGCAACGACGATTTGGAGTGTGTGCCCAAGGTGCTCTGCCAGATGATTGCCGGTCAAACGTTACGTGGCCAATTGCCAGGCTTCATTACGTCCCCAGCCATAGCCAAGTGAGTATCACAAGGGGTATAGTAAATGGGGGAGGAAGGAATATTGTATGGGTAGAGAGTTGGGAGAGTTGCGGCTCAGTTTGCAGGGGGCTTTAGTTGTAAGTAAATATTATTAAATTTGCATTTTAAGTCTGGGGTTGGGCTGGGAGGTGGGTACTCTCAAGCATCGTGTTGCCATACCGAAGCGTTAACTGGGATTAGACTTCATTAGTCCCGAAACCATATTGATTGTTCCATTAAATGAGCTACGTTCCAGGGGGTTGCGTTGCATTGCAGACCATCTCCTACTCCTCATCCTCCTACTTCGTGCGTAAATTGAAATTGTTTTGGCTTTGGCTTGGTCTGGGCCCCAAAATTCTTGGCTTCGAGTCAATTAAGTTTTATAAGCAGCTCAAAATGAGATCCAATGGCAGCTGGAGTCACATTAGTTATATAATGAGATGAAGGTTTGTTGCCCCCTGATACCCTGAACAATAACCGATACAGATGGGGGTAAAGCCAAAGAAGGAGTTGGGTGTAGAGACAGACATAATGAGATGATATTGAACTCCTAAGAGACTATTTTCTACAGCAAAGTTCATGTTTAGGTTGGGCTTGTAGCCAGAGTGAAGTAAATGATTGTCTTTTCCAGTGTGGCTTAGCAGTTAAGGGTGGGTTTTGCTCTGTTTAAGTTGGGACACGCTTTCTACATACCTATCCGATATTTTTCTCTCTAACCTTTCTCTTTTGTACCCTCTCCATACAGTTTCCTCACTGGCTTTCCCGTCGCCTCACCCGCTCTCATCTATGGCCGGGCTGCCCTGCTGGGACTCAGCGGTGGAGAGCGCAGCTGCCTGCAGAGCTATGAAAAGTGTCCGAAGAATGAGGTAAGCTCCGCACTGCACTCTCAGACGTGAAGCAGGCTTAATGATTATTAAAAATAAACCCCACTCTCTTTTGCAGATGGAAATCATTCACTATCTGAACAATCATCGTGGGGGCTTCTTCAAGTTCTTTAGCGAGCCGGAGGAGCAGCCGGTGGCGGCGCAACAGAGCGAAGGTGGCGCAAGTTCATTCTTTAGCATCCTCTCAGCCCTGACAGGCGGAGGTGGTGGCCAGAGCCAGGTGTACACCACACCGCGACCTGTGGCACCCAGACCACGACCCACGCAGCGGCCCAGCACGGACATTGCCAGCGGCATTGGCAGCTTCTTCAGCCAGCTACTGTCCGAGTACCTGAATGGCGTGGAGTACCAGCGCAGGAGGAGGCGGCGAAGGAGAAGCCTGTTGCCAACGGAAATTAAACGCGCCATTCAGACGGATGATGCCAGCCTGATGCCAGTCGACTTTCACGACGAGGAGGACAGCCTGGACACGCAGTCGGGGAGGATGGTGAAGTTCCAAGACGACGATGAGGCGGAGGCCGCCCAGGCCCACACCGAGCTGATTGGAGTGCTGCAATTTCCCGAGGACGAGGGTCGCGTCGTCAACTTCAAGGACATTGAGAGTGAGGAGGTGGAGCAGTATCAGGATGGTGCTATCCGCTTTCCGGACGCCACTCCGGCGGAAGCACAGCGCAACGACCAGAGTAAAATTATCCGCGAGTTCAATCGCGATGCGGCCCAGCGCAAATTGAGATTTCCCCAGGAAAGAGAGGAGGAGGCGGAGGCGGAGGCGGAGGCTGATGGAGCTGTCAGACAGGCTAAGCACTTGGCTCTCATGGAGGGTTGGCGCGCAGTGCTGCCCAATGGCCTGAATGAGGCGGACTACGGTGTGGACAAGCGACGCGGCAAGAGGATTGTGTTCAGGGATACCAACGAGGAACTGGACGAGCAGGCAGCTAATGAGGAGAGATACAGGGAGGAGCAGCAAAGGGAGGCAGAAGAAATGATCCGAGAGGAACGCATTAGAGTGGAGCACTTGAGAGCGGAACGAGTCAGAGAAGACGAACTCAAAGTCGAACGTATCCGCGAGATTCAGCTGAGAGAACAGCAACTTCGGGATGCACCCGAGCGCTATCCACTGAATGCAGTCTACGAGGAGGCAGCGCCACCCCAGCGAGGAGCACGAGTCATCTTCCCCGATCACTATGAGCGCTATATACGCAAAGGAAAGATACTGAATCGACCCACCTATGCGCCCAGCTACGAGTACAGCGATCGGAGGGAGGAGAAGGAAGATCGTTTTGTGCTGAGCAATGAGCACAGGCCCGGTGCACACTACCGCCTGGAGGCGGGCGACTACCCGCAGCCCAACACCCTGAACCAAGGCGAGTACATGCCCAGCAGCAGTACGGTGCGCTTTGGGGAACCCTCGAATGGTCCTCCCGCTCCACAGTACAACTATCCCAATGTGAACTACATCGGCGACAATCGGTATGGCAGCAGGCCAAGTCAGAAGCCCAGATACGAGGACGACAAGAACATTTACGTGACGAATTCGCAGGGCGTCAATGAGTACTACATACGACCCGATGGCAGCAAGGTTTACCTGAGGGCGGGCTAGGGCTCGAAGGCTAAGGCGTTGCTCGCACCAAAACCCCACTGAGAGGCAGGCCACACAAATAGTCACATAAGTCTGTAAATATTTAATAATTTAAAGGAGTGCACATATTTATTAATAATAAAACGAAAACCCCAATTCAATCAAAGAACAAGTGAAATACGCTCTGAGCGGAGAATTGCTGTATAAATCAAGCGGCAAAACGGCAGCGTCCCGGGAATATGTTTGAAAAATTAAATGTGATAAACCCGCAAACAGAAAAGGGAACAAGAAAAAAGAAAGAGACAAGCAACTGCGGAGTGGTCTTCGACTTGGAGATACCCATTAATCAGGTGTAAGTTTTGCACGGGCACATGCTTATTTTCTCTGCGACTTTATGCTCTCTAAGAACTGAAAGCCATAGCCTTCCTGAATATCGTTCAAGAGCAGTGTATACCCTTATCCCAAAGGCAGTACCCAGCGGAAACCCCCAGAAAACATGTTCTGTTGCTTCTGTTTCTTTTTTCCGTCAGCGTTTTCCCAAATGGTCGAGCGTTTGTCAGTGCGAAAATCACACAGAAATGCGAAAAGTGCACGAACAAAAAAGTGCAGCATACCCTTGTGCGAGGGCCAGGGTTGTCATTGCCAACCGAAAGCTCAAAGCAACATTTGCTGCCACTGCCACTGCCACTGCTGGCTGTCGTTTCATTTTATTTACAGCACTCGGGACACTGGCGGCAACGACACAGACGACAGCAACGACAGCGACGACAGTTTGTATGCAAAACCATATGCAGCTGGGTTAATAAATGGGGGAAACACTGGTGGGTGTACAATAGTGGGTGCATGGAAGGGGCAAACCGGAGCACTGGTTATGGAGTCTGAGACCGAGCGAGACCTGAGTGTTGGTTTTGTGTATTTTGGCAAGAAAAGGTAGAAATAAAAGCAACAACACAAACTGAAACGACTACAGACTGATCTTTGATTGGAATTAAATGTAAATACATATTTTTAATAGAAAAATCAAACGATGCGCAGAAGTTTTCCCAAGAAAAATACAAGCAAAAGCATTGGAAACTCACTGGCAACCCTAGAACTCTTATAACCAACACTCCAGCCACATACCCGCGACCCTCAATCAGTGCAGGGTATCCAGCCTAATGCTTTGCGTCAACAATTTGCAAACGGCACTGCCTGCATGCAACCGAATTTTTTGTTGCATGCTCTTTGGAGTATCAATTTTTTGTATGTAGTTGCTGTGCATTGTCCGGTTGCATGGAGTCTCCCTGGACATGTCCGAGCATGGTGTAGCCACAATTTGGTGATGATTTTTGCTTGGTTTTTTCTTTTTTTGTTGATTTATTTGCTTACTCGTAAATCTAAGCGCCTACACATGCCGACGTCGCCTCGAGCCTCGAGCCTCGAAGCCTGTTCGGCGAACGTTCATTTAAATTAAAACCCTTAAAAGCGACTAAGGTACAACGGAATGATGAAATGAAGTAAGGACAAAGAGCATAGATACATAGATACATAGATACATGTGGATATGGTGAGGAGAGAGTATAACAAAGATGTCCAGAGTGACTGACTACGGGCGCACCACTCAGCCTGCTCCAGTCTCCAGCCTCCTCGAGTACCCAGAGAAGGCAGCTCCGCCCCAAAGAGCTTCATGTGGAGCCGGATGGTGGGTTGGATGTATGGCTGGATGGCTCCTCAGCGTGGCTGTGGTGGTGGCAGGGGTCCAACGCCCGGACAGGGCATCCGCTTGGCCAGGTGCTTGCACAGCGGCACATCCCGCACCGCATCCCCGATGAACAGCGACAGCAGATACCATTGTTTCATCCCGCCATCGTTGCTCGATTGCACTTTGTAGTTGCTGTTGGGTTGTGCAGTGGTTGGGTGGTTGTTGCAGTCGAGAAACAAAAAGCGGATTACAAAAATAATTACTTATAAGTAGGCGGGTAATATGTACACAAAACAAAACAGAGTGCACCCAGTTCCCCATTTTCCACCCAACTGAGTGGAGAATGCAGGGGGAATGTAGGAGCGAATGGTGTGGGTTTTACTTGGCTTATTTGTGTAATGGTTGCATACTACTTATAAAGAGGGTAATGCCTTGCTGCAGACCCAAACCCAAAGCCAAGAAGGTTAAGAATGGTGGAAAATTGTGAGTTGCATTAGTTACCAATGTGGCAGAAGCAATTCTCAAGCAGTAGTTGATTAGTAAGCATTGATTTAAGGCTAATTACAATTAATATCTTTAAATAAATGATGTGCCAACATGCCTCGAATATCATCTAAGAATTGCAATGCAAAAATCAAATTTTAAACTTAAAATTTGCACTAAAGTTAAGCCCAACTCTTAAACACATATTTAAGAAAAAAAAACCATGTGAATATTCCCATTTATTTCATTGAAACTTATCCTCCCCTGGGGCGTGTACCCTGCTGATTACTTTGTGTGTTTGCGTTCCTATTTATTTTCATTTTTGTTTTCTCTTCACACCTATGCGAGTCCGTTCAGATGGACTCTTCAAATTTCACACGTCTGCAATGGCATAATTTAATCAACTCAGTAACGAAACACATCTGCATTGGCCCTGTGGCAACACAGGGACACAACTGACCAAAACCCGAACAGCACAGAACAAACAGAACTGGTGTGTTGGGCACTCCCCACTGTGCACTTGCATAAATTTAATCAAAAACTTTAATCATATTTTATTATTACAAAACACGTTGTTGTCGTTGTCGTTGTCGTGGCTCCGGAACGTGGCAAAAGTAGAGAAAACTTCTCCTAATGCCAATTACATTTGCAGCGCAACGAAAACTAAACAAAAACCATCAGAGAGCAAGACTCAGAGCCAGACTCCGACTCACATCTGAGTTGGTTGGGCTAAAGGTGAAGGAGGCAGCTGGGTAGCTGCCAAGACAGACGAACATTTCGAAAATAATTTTGAATATTTGCTCTTGACACGTTGGCCAAACAACTTTTGGCCATTTATTTGTGGGTTGCAACGGGGCAGACCGGGGGCTAAACATTAAGTGTGAAAATGTCAGATGCATGTGGAAACCTTTTTGCGATATGACAAAATATTAAAATGGAAAATCCCTTTCAACAGTAACAAGAAGCAAGTAGTGCCCGAACATGGCAAAATATTACTTATACGAACACGGTCCAGGGTCTAGCCTGCCCTAAGAAGCTTTTCTTTAATCTCGCCTTTTGTTTGCTCCTCTTAAAATATTTCTCAAATGGAATCAACAGTAAAAATGTTTTACTATCACTGACCAGTCAGACATGCCAAGCATTCGCATTCGCATTCGCATCCGTATCCGCCCTTTTATGGCATAAACTCGAATAAAAAAAATGCATGAAAATGCAGGGAACTGCAATGCACCGAATGTGGTTGTACCCTAGCCTTACCTCTGTGACCTAAACAGAGCGTTTTCCTTGCAAAAATGAGTCCCTAACTAACAATATACCCTTCGAAAGAGAAACGGACCGAGCAAAGAGAAGAAGTAGCAAAGAGACAAGCGCATTAATTATGAATCACAGCAGCTCCTTGGCGGCTCCGTTTGATGGTCGGGCAAAATAATTTCCTTCCTCATAACATTACCATGACAATGGAGGGGAGCCAGAGGGCAACTAACTCATCAGGAAAAGTTAAGAACAAATTTATGTAAACTTACAAATTGAAATCCAAAAACTAAACTCAAAGCCAAAGACAAACCAATGACATGCACATTTAACTTCAAACAGAGAGAGAACTGAAGGGTAGGGAGCATGGCAGCAAGGAAATGCATTAAATTATGCACAGATGAGTTAGCAATGCCAATGACAATGGGCAAATCGGTGCAGAAGAAGAGGGATCTGGAGAGGAGACAGCATCAGCATCAGCATCAGCGACAACAAGGACAAATAAAAATTGATTGGAAAACATTTTTAGCCAAGCTAAAAACAAGCCATTCATTTGCCAAATGACAACAACAGCAGCGCCAAATCGCAAGCGTAGCAATAAGCAATGCAATCGGAGATACTCTCAGTCGAAGATGTGGTTGGGAGGAAGAGAGCGAACCAGAACCAACAAAAGTTCAAGTTGTTACTGCCAGCTTGGGGATGTCGGGGGAGTAGCCATAAAGTCAGCGCTGCACTTGAGCAGCAAATGGAGCAAGACACTCGTGGGTAATGTAGGAAGAAGTCGCACTGGAAACACCCTAAAATGAGAAGCACACCTGCCAGTGAAGCTTCGCCTTTTATGTACAAAATATTCTCTAGAATATTTTACCTTAAATGGATTAATATTTTAGTTAGTAAAATGCCACCATAAACCTAAAAATTTGCATTAGTTACACAAGCCTTGTCCAACCTTGCAGGGTATTAAAGCAACCCAAAGGACTGATACCACATCCGGACCTACCTCAAGACCTCCGCCCAGGCAGCATGCGGCTTGGCTCTGCCATTGCCGGGCGCACGGCGGTCGCTGCCCGCGGCACGTGACGCATGCACACGGCACGGCTCCTCCAGGATGCAGGCCCGTGGCCCAAATGCGCTCAAGATCTGCTTCTGGGCTAGCTCGGCATCCAGCGCCAGCGGGTGGGCAATGTCGCGTCTGCTGCGAGACCTGTAGGTGCCTGTGGCAAACGAGAATGAATGAACAACAAAACGCAACAAAATGACAAATGCAGCTATCCACGGGAGTAAGTTTCGTTTTGTCTTTGCTGATTACTCAAGCGCCCTCCCGCTCTCACTCTCCCACTACATCCGCGCGTGGATTTACAGTTCAACGAAGAGTTCAAAGCAATGCAGAGAGTTTTACAGTGTTCCGCTTGGTTACGCATCTTCAAAGCTCATCATCATCATCCCGCGCTCTCTCTCTCTCTCCCTCTCTCTCTTGCCGAAAGCTTCGCTAAGCGACGCACAAGCTAACGGTTCCGCCTCTGTTGTGGTTTGGTCTCTTCCAGCCGCAGCTTTGCTCAGTAGTTGGGGTTTTTGGTAGCCGGCAGACAGCCTTGACCCGATTATTCAATTGTCGCCTAAGTGGACGTGCACGAACTCGAATCGGGTTTCTTTAACGGGCGAATGCCCCTCATTGG